AGCACCTTCCACGGCCCTCTCACGCAAGTGGGAGACACGCCGTTCTATCCCCGTTGTGTGAAATCCTGGTGTTTGTGTGTATGGGGGGCCAGGTCGTGCTGTGGCGCGCGCAGTCATGGTCAGTCGACCATGTCAGCCACCGTGCCCATTCCCCACTCCAGTCTACTGACCGGCTCGGACAGTGGCTGGGGTGTGGGAATGGGAAGGGAGAGTGAGGTCGACGACTCAGCGCATTTTCCTCACTATAATCAATCTGACGCGCTTGAAGCTATCACAGTGCGCTAAAAGCCGTGGCTTGGAAGGTTGCCAACTGACGGGGTACCTTGGACCACCTCCCTAACGGGAGGCGGTCTGAGAGTCAGGCTGCAATGGCTCCTTTTTAATGTGGCCTTTATGGCACTCCCACCACAGTGTGGGATCCGAGCCAGGCGTTGGCGGCACGCCCAGGTGCGGCTTCGGTTGTGCCAGCCTCCAAATCTCTCTTGTGTTGGTTGAAATCCTGGTTATTGTTGTGTAGACCAGGGGGTGTGGTGGAACGCCAAGGTGAGGATCCGTCCGAGCCATCCACCTGCGGCCTCCCCCGTCTCCGGTCTTCTTGACTCTGTCTTGACACCGGGCCCAGGCGGGGGAGGAGGAGAGAGTGTAGGTAGATGCTACGCAAGTCTACTGGCACTATAAACCCCTGCGTAAGTCACCGTCCCTGCTCCCACAATGCAGTCTGTGGGGCACACGGTGGTCATCGTCGAAATCGACGGACGAACTGTCGGGTACTTTGGTACAACAGGGCCTGCCGCGTGCTGGTGGCCTTCCTGTAGACCGTCCTCTGCAGGTTCCCGTTGATCTTGCGATAAACCAGGACCTTTAGAAACGCGATCTGATTGTTTTTCTCCGCCTCCATTTTAAGTTGGATACCAGGAAATACAGAGTTCAGTAGCGCGTGGAATTTCGAGACCATTTCCTGCGTTAGAATGACGAAAGTACCGTCCACATACCGCGCCCTAAGTGTTCGCGTGTGGGTCGCAAACACCAATTCCTCTAACCTTTGGAGAACAACTTTAGCCATGAAAACAGACAGCGTTGAGCCCATCGACGTACCTTTGATTTGCTCGTGCGCAGTACCTTCAAAGATAAAGTAAGTTTTAGGGCAGTACTTCGGTAGTTGCACGAGATGTCTCCGGCAAAGTAGCGAGGAAGAACCGATGCCACCATGGGAACAATCACCAGCCCTCGCAGTACAGCATGTACAGATAGCCTGCAAGTCAGTACCACGCCAGCACTATCAAAACCCCAAGACTCTAAGGCGCCCTACGCAACACACCTCCGACGATGGAAGCTTGCTTGCTTTCGAATCGTCAGGAAAACAAAATCATGGTACCTTTTATCGTCTTACCTTCTCATATACGTATACCTGAACTGGAAAATCGGCATCCCAAAAAGCGTAATTTAAAGAAAGTAAGTTCTTTAGGAAAGGATAACAAGCCTAATTACGTGCTTTTTCGACGCCGGTTCCCCAGGTCGTCATCAGACACGCATTAAACCTGCGAAACGTTAGAATTCTGAACGCGCCTGAAAGATCGATATTGCTTATCATTCTTTCCAATATGCCCTGTGCGGATTGACGTCTCGTTTAGATTGGCTATCGCTTTTTCATTAATCATTGAGATTGCTGTATAGGGCGTCCAATTCGATGTGTCGATTAATGCACCCCGATATCTCGTGCACGTGAGTAACCTCTTGATGAATAAAGAGTCTTATTTGCCATCGACTGCAAGCGAAACTAAAAAGTTTGTGAACAGCATAAACAAAACAATAGGCAGGCTGAGGAAAGCTGCAGCACTCACGATAAGAGAAGCGTTGGCTACAATAGCCACTGATGGCCCGCATCTACGACCTACCAAAGGTGTGCAGGACGGGAATGCCCCTGCGCCCCCCCCCCTCCTCCACTTACGTGGCACTCCAACCCTTGGGTTCTCAAACTGGAGGTATTAGCGACTTTTTTCCCTAACATGGGTCCGGCGTAGACGGTAGAGTCGACTGCAACGTCTTTTTACGCCCATCTATCAGCCCCACGTAGAGGCACAAGAGGTGATGCTGTCATTTTACGTGATCTTGTTATTCATATCTAGTCCACCCACAATGGCTATCGACATTATTGACGGCTTTCTCTGAGAAAAATATGATGCGACTGCTCATCGCACTACTAGAACTGTGTCTTAAGACGTTCCTCACATCCAACAGCCAGGTCTGTGAGCGAAAGAAGGCGACGCTGATGAGCTCATCTCTGTCTGAACTAATTGACGAAGCGAATTGGAAAAGGCTCGAACAGCTGGTCTTCAGCACGTACCTCTAAAGTCCTGGGCCAGATACATGGACGATACGTTCGCCGTAATCAAAATAAACAACGCATAGGCTTACAAGTCATTGCTGAATTCAATCTTTCTCGACATCCAGTTTACCATTGTGGAAGAAGTCAGCAATTAGTCCCCTTTTCTTGATATACGAGTGATAAAGATAGCAGGTGGGAAGATTGGGACAACGTTCTACCGCAATACAACTAACAATAGGCGTATCCTCCACCACAGCAGCGACCACCCTGTTGGTTGCCAACTCAGCTGTAGCAGAACCATCTTCTGACGCGTTTAAACACACTGTTACGAGGGCGATGAGGGGAAGTAAAAGATGAAGCCCTTTCAGGCTTTATTTTAAGTCAACAGTTATCCGAAGTCCTCCATACATAAGTGCCTCGGAAGCCTCATTTTGAGTAGTCGAGCGGAGAAAGGCCAAAATTGTGGCTCGCGATCCTCTATATGCAGAGCGTTTCAGATGCGCCATCAAGAACCTTAAAACTCTCTGAGACTGGCGTGTCTCGTAAATCAGAATAAATGACCAAACAGCAAATCACGAGGCCTAAAAATCCTCTACCAGTAATAGAGAAATCGACAGTGTTATATCGCATACCATACCAAAACTGTGATGCGAAGTATGCTGTTGAAACGGGCAAACGTCCTGGCACAAGATTGCACAAACACCAACTTGCAATCAATCGCAAAGGTGAGCTGTCTATAGTCTATGGCCGCATTCAGCAGCTGAACCAAAGTTTTGTTTTTGAGAAAACAAAAGTGATCGGCCAAGCCAATGAAAAGATGTGCAGACTGATGCCCGCAGGTTAGTCCTCACACGGCACACCCAACCGATCTGTAAACCTGCATGCCGCCTACCGGGCGCTGCGCAAAGTGGCTCGGGTCGGTTCAGAGAGAGATCGGCCGAAGGCCACCTGACCAACGTCCGTTTGATCAGTGGAAAAGATGTAAAAGGCAGTTTAGGTGCTCTGCCTCCTCGTTATTTCCGGCAATGTACTCACTTTGTCTTCTCTCAACGCTGCGATCGTCTCGTTGTTCTTTAACCTCCTGTTGATATATCCTAAGAATACATTTGGCGTCTCTACGGCCCGTTCTTCAATTGGTTTTTCGTACTCCTTCCACAATATACGGACATTTGAGTGTATCTTCTTCCGCCTTCGGTGAAATTCTTTGTTAAGCGATGGTTTTTGTTACTGCATGCCTTCTCCAAAATTTGCCCTTTCTGTTTTTCTCTCTCATCACATCTGACAGGGCAGTTCCCCTTCGGAACGTTTTGAACAGTTGAGATGCAAAGCGCCGCT